ACACACACACACACACACACACGTACGTCTCGCCCCTGGTTCTGTCTCCCTTCGCCGTCGATGCGAGTCGGAAGGGGAGGAGGAGTCGCCGGAGTGACACACACACACACACACACACACACACACGTCTCGCCCCCGGTTCTGTCTCCCTTCGCCGTCGATGCGAGTCGGAAGGGGAGGAGGAGTCGCCGAGCAGCGGGGCCGTGGGCGCCCGCACCGCACACCCTCTTCCCGTCCATTGCGCCGAGGCGGGGGGCTCGAAGTTAGCGACCCGGCTGGCGAGGCCGCTTCGCTTCGCCCGGGGGCGTCGTGGGCACACGTGTCTCGCCATTTCATGGGAGGGCTGCTGAGTTCAGGCGAAGTCTGGAAGGCGGAATAACGCGTTGATGGCGACCAGCCCTGTGCGCGACACCGTGCGCTGCTGCGCCTTCCCGAGGTCCCAGGCAGAAGCCCGGCTCCCCGCGCGCGTTGGCTTGACAGTTACTTCCGGATCAGAACAGGGCTGCCGTCTTTGCGCGAGCACCGAGAGGACTCGGCTCCTGTGCTGATGTGCAGCCCGTTCACGACGTGGTGTGCATTGCGGATGGCACTGGTGTGCCGCTGGCACTGGCGCCGCTTGGGGTGGTCGGGTCGGTGCTGATTCTGCGAGTGTTCCACGTGGACACGTCCGCGGCTGTGGACACTTGCAGGGCGCCCTAGCATGCCCTTGCTTCAGAACTTGGAGAAGTGCTGTAGAGGCGAGGGGCCAGACTTCGCCAGTGAAGGTATTTTCCCATAAGCTTTTGCAGTCACCAGTTGAAACTGGACGTGACCCGTAGACACTTTGCTTTGAGGGGTTGTACGGAGACTGTCTTCGATCTGAACATAGAAGAGATTTGTCTTCCTTTGATAACGGGCTTTGCAAAAAGTTCAGTGCGGTTTTCCAGCTCCACTGCATTTCTTTAGTACACACAGATCTGCCAAATAAAGTTTCTTTTTTGATCATAATGTTCTGTAAGAAAGTAGGTTTTACAGAATTATTTTCAAATTATTTCCTCAGTCATGCTCGTGTAATGTGAAGCTTCCCTAACAAGCCCTGTTTTAGAAGGAAACTAGAGACAGGTTTGCTCGTTGGCCCAAGGTTTATTCAGTGAGCTAAAAGTTGAGGAAGGATGCCTCAAAATTAAGATTCAGGATTCAAGTTTTTATTGCTGCCAATTTCCTGTGGCATTGAGAGAGTAATATTTGTAAACTGGAAAGAGTGCCTTTTCACCTCCTTGAGGAAAGTCATCAAGTGTTAGAATTCTTACAGAAATGTTCCAGTCTAATGGGGGAGACAGGTGAAAATCTTGTACCGTATAAATGTAAAAAGCCGTTGCAGTGGTTGCTATAATGGTTTGACGAAGAAAGGTATTTATGAAAACTTCAGAGGAGATAAGCCTTCAGTTAATGTTTATGAAAACTTCGGAGGAGATAAGCCTTCAGTTAATGATAAGCATAGGTTTTTTTCTAAGCCCCTAATGTTATCACTACTGTTGTTATATGGTAAGGTACTAGGGGCTAGACTTTTGCTTTATTTTCCTCCTTTAGAGGCTGAAGTATGGCGTGTATGCACTCTTTTGGCTGTCAGTGTTTATGCTGTCTGAAGAGTGAGTAAAAGACGACATAAGTGAGCTAATTAAAATCACAGTCATTTTAACAAATTATTTTTGTGGTAAAGATTTGACAGACTTTCTAAAGCTTTCATTGGCAACATGATGTATGCGAGTGAGCCTTGACCCTGAAGTCAAGAGTTGAGGGATCTGTATCTGGCTGTCCCTGAACTAGCTAGCGACCTGGCCTCTTTAGGGCTCCATTTTCTGTAGAGGACAGGGTTCACTAGATGATCGCTAATGACTTTTAAGGCTCTAAAATAAGTGGCTCAGAAATGTTTCATGAAAAGTTAAGGCTTCTCTTTTTCTTCGATTTTTAAATACTGCAGCATGTAAGTGAATGTATCTGTGAGGCTGTTATGTAATTGGGAGGTTAATTTCTTTTAGCTAATTTTTGAAAATAGAAATGTGTACCAGATTGGAACTTGAGGCTGTTTAAGTCTGTGATCCAGTTTTGTTTAATAATTTAGACTCATTTCGAGTGTATATATAGCTTAATATAGGAACAATAAATGTCTAGCATTGTTACTTTCCCAAAGTTTACTTGAAAGTATTGTGTCTATGTGGTCTGGATTTTCTGGAAGTTGTTTAGTTTTAAGAATCCTGCCTTCTTTTTCTCAAGTATACGTTCCTTAACTTTTTTCTTTTTTCTTTGAGAAATAAGATCACCAGAAGTTTTCCTCTACAATTTAGTTATTAAATGAAAGTGAATTTTTTTCTGGAAATTTAAGCCTACATATGTTCACTGACAAAAACACCTGATAATTTTTGACAAAACAGTGTTGGAATTTGAAATTGAAAATCCCATTTCTGATTTGCTATAGATTGGAATATCTATGAGACCATAAAATTGAGAAAAAAATTAGCTGTATGTGAAAAGATAAAGCATGCATTAAAATGAAACTTAAGGAATGGCATTCTCTTCTTAAAAAATGTATTTGGAGTTGTGTTTAAGAAGTTACCCTTCAGAATTCACTGCAACATTAGTACTAAAATTCATATAAAAATAGAATTACAGAGTAATATTAGTGTGCAACTAGTCATTTAGAATAATTCAACCTAAAACGATTTCTTTTAGGAACAAACTTGGTTGGTGGAGAAGGTCAGGCAGCAGAGTGTTCTTGGTCATTATTTAAAATAATTCTTTGTGTTATCTGTAGTTTAAATGTTCCAAAGAATGCAAAGAAATACTTATGACAAACTTAAAAAAAACTTCTTTATATGTGAGTAGACAAATATTGTCTTACTTATATAAATAGAATCATGATTTGTCATTTACACACTGACATTTGTTTTGAGAGGCTTAAACAGAAACATAAGGATAGAATTTTATTAGTATTATTAGTATATAACTAGTGTTATTAATTACATTTGATTATAAATTATAGCTCTGTGTCTCAGAGACCAGATTTCTCTGATCTGGGGATTGTAGGAGTCCCAAAAACCTTTCAAGGGATCTGTAAAGTCAAAACTGTCTTTTCACTTTTACAAGTGTACAGAGTTTTCTAGGGGCTCTGCGATGTGATAGTCTGGCAGATTGAATGGAGGAGAGGAGACCCCCGCTGCCTTCTACTCAATCAAGAATCAAAAAGATTTGCAGAAATGTAGAAGACATAGCCACTCACTAACTGGTTTTTGTTTTAAAAAGTTATTTTTCATACAAGTTTTATGTTTACAAGTTTATTATTTAAAGTTTTCTTTGGTTTAATTTCAAATATGATGAATAGCTGTAGAAAGGACCTACATGATCAAGATCTCTTTGAGGTCCTCAGTATTTTGAGTGTAAAAGAGTCTTCTGACCAAGAGTCTGAGAGTAGCTGCCTTATGGTGGTGTTGTTCAAGTCTGTGCCGTTCAATATGGTAGCCGCTCGCCGCATGTGACTGTTGAGCAATTGACATGGGGCTGAGAAACTGAACTGCTAGTTTAATTTTAATTAATTTTTAAACACGCAGTGGAAAACTTTATGTTGATTACATGTTGAAATGGCAATACTTTGCATATGTTAGTTTAAATAAAGGTATTAATTTCTCCCGTGTACTTCTTAAAATGAGGCTTCTGGAAAATTTAAATTATATGTGGCTTTTATTTTTATTGGGAAACTCTGGTTTAGAAAATAGTTTCCTTTTTTTTTCCCTCTGTATACCTTATAAGTTGATTAGAAGGGCAAGGTGGGGTGTCCCAGACCTTGCTTTTCCATTGCATTCTTTTGTATTCTTCTTTTACCTGTGACTGTCAGTTACAGCCTTGGGGCATTAGAGGGTCGCTGTAGTAAGATAGGTGCTGTAGGTGAATGATGACCTTGTAATGTTCTTTTATGGTGCTGCTTATAGAGGAAGGACGATATCACCCAATGGGTGTTTTCTAATTTTTTTTTCATTGCTCTCAAACTAAATTGCTATTAAATTTTATTTTGAACTTGAGAACATTTTTATGAACGAGATCCACTGCCAGCATTCTCTTATGCAAAACTGAGAGGTTATGCCTCTTGTCAGACTTAATTACCAAGTTTGGTATTTTGTAACAGCTGTTGCCTGAGTCTGGAATAGTCTGCAGTACCATACGAACACCAGTTGATTAGAGGGATGGAAAGGGTGCAAGAAGACTTTTACCAATAGTGAATGAGGGCATAAGCAAATTATATATTTGGCACTGATTAAAATTAAAATCGTCTTTGAAATTTCTCTGATGCATTTATTTCTTCAAGGAGGATTGACTAGTAACACCAGCTACTAGTGGTGCCTAGAAAATGATACCTGTCATTTTACTTTTAGCTTCATTGTTTCTATTTTTAAAATGAGTTGCTTATTTTCTTCCCTCTGTAAATTTCATGCCCAGGTCAAAAAACATACCAGTAAGTCAAGTTTTAGGTAGAAGATAAGGAGTTCTATTTTTCAGCCCTTCCTTGTTTGTGGGCTGCTTACAGTGTTGATTGCACAATACTGTTAAATTCTTGTTTATTCCTAACAGATGTGCAAAATTTTATTTTAAATGTCAGAATTATTGATCTGAACAAAACAGTATTGAAGTTTTTTAATTATGGAAACGTGAATAGAAATGTTTCTTAAATTTCTGTTACCAAAAATGACCTGTTGACTTATGTCAACAAAAGTAAAAAGAGATAGTGTTCAATTTTGCAAAATGGATTAAGTATTCTTGGAAACTGGCATTGGCACAATACTGTAAGTTGACTTGAGAACAGGTGCTTAGGTTTTCGTGTTAGCTTTACTCGAGTCAGTAAATACAAATGACAAGAGGAAAAACTGGTAAGCAGCACAAAGGAGAGAAATCGGGGTCCCCTTAACAAGCTGTTCACTCACAGTAACTTCAGAGTAGTTGACACATTTATTTAGTTTTACAGTATTTTGCTTCTGCTTACGTTTTTCCTGCTCTCTGAACTACAGGTTGAGCATTCCAAAATCTAAAACTTTCGAAGTGCTGACATGACACACCACAGAAATGCTCATTGGAGCATTTTGGAATTGGGGTTTGAGATGCTCAGCTGCTAAGTACATAATGCAGATACTCCCAAATTAAAAACAAAACCAAAATCTGAACCACTTCTGGTCCCTAGCATTTTGGATAAGGGATACTCATCCTGTAGTAGCATAAACTTCATGGGGCCAGAGATCTGTTTGCATATTAGTCAGGGCTATAGCACAGGGCTTGGCACATGGTTAACACTCAACAACTGGCTTTTGGGGGTTTTTTTTGAGTCAGGGTCTCACTGTATTGCCCAGGCTGGAATGCAGTAGCATGATCACAGCTCACTGCAGCCTCCAACTCCTGGGCTGAAGCGATTCTCCTGTGTCAGCCTCCCAAGTAGCTGGGACTACAGGTGTGTGCCACCACACCTGGCTAATCTTTTTTATTTTTTGTAGAGAAGAGGTCTCGCTGTTACCCAAGCTGGGCTTAAACTTCTGGGCTCAAGCAGTCCTCCTGCCTTAAAGTTGTTGGGATTACAGGCATGAGCCATCTGTTGATTGCACATAGAGTATTAGATCTTCTGGCTGATCATTCATAGATAATTTATGTATATTTTATAGTCTCATCCTAAAGTTAAAGTATGAGTGAATTTTCTTAATTTTGTATGTATTTTATTTTACTCTCTATAAAGTATTTATGAAATGTTGAGTTTGGGAGAAAAGTGAAGGTTTAGGTCAGGAATAAGAGCAAGAAAATACACTGTAGCTCTTTCACAGAAACAAAGAGCTGAGTATCACCTGTCCTCACTCATAAGTGGACCCTGAACAATTATTGTACTACTGTAAGAAAGGGATTGGCAGTAGCGAGAAACTGCCAGGAGAGGGGCGGGGAAGTGGAATTGGCTGTAGTGGGAATCTGCCTGGGGAAGGAGGGGGCACACCTTATCAACAAGGGTACCTGCATAATGAACATTTGTATACCTAAACCTGAATTGTACCCCATATCTTTAAAATAAAAAAATTAAAAGTTAAAAAAAGAAATGCACTTTAAAGAAATAATGTCCATTGACAGATTTGATAACACAAAATCATGGCTTTAAAATGTGCCTCAGACTATGTAAGAGTTCAGGGCATATAATATATAACTGTTAGACAGATTTGATTTTGTTTATAACTTAAAACATTTTAAAATCTGGTGAAATTCTATTGCTGTGTTATTGAATACTTGTAGCTCTGATTTTAGTATGGTAGTGTTTCTAGGGTGTGTCTTAATACAATTCTATAAGGAATTAGTTTACCCAGGATGGTTTATTAATAGCACCTAAGACAACAGCTACATTGCAACCCAAGCAAACTAGGAAGAAAATGGTGACGAGAATACATTCTTAAAACCTGAGATTTTGCTTTTCAAGGTTCCCCCCCCCTCCCCTGGGTGTATGTGAGTATTGTGTAGCGAGGCACTGGAAAAAATACTTGCGGATTTTTGCTACGTAATAATGCTGAGTTTCTTCCAGTTGAGCTGGACAGGCTGGTTGACTCCTGGGCTGCAGATAAGAGTAAGCAGGGTCACCTAAAGATAGATTGACTTAGAGGTTTGGCTGCCTCTCTGGAACCATTCCACTTGGAGCAGATTTCCATAAATGGAAAGAGCAACTGGAGAGCCCCAGTACCTTGGTGAAGAGCGCAGATGATGTGCAACAGGTGGTAACACAGTCCCTGGGTTTACAAAATAAATGCCCTCCCAGCGACTGCTGTGTAAGGTGGAGGCTTTTAGCATTTCGTGAATTTGAGACTTAGTGGATCCCCCCCATCACAGGTTTCCTGGAAACAAAAGACTCATCTCTTCAGTATGTAGTGCTTATGAATTTGCAACATGCTTTTATGAAATTGGTGTAAACATTGGCCTTTAGTGCCTTTAGGGGACATCTTGAGAAAATCTGTCAAATTGGAAACTTACGCATTCATGTTTCAGAACCACTTACCAAGTTAACTATTCAGGAGGTGAAATTAGTAAATATGTTGCCAAGATAATACATTTGTTCTTGAATTACTAATTATCCTGTAAGGTCAGATTTTAAATGGGTTAGCATAGCTGCCCCGACCTCAAGGAGTTTTATAATCTTACAGGAGTGATAAGAAATTATCTTTCTGTTTTGCGTAAGAGCAAACTGAGGCTTAAGAGTGATTAAGTTGCTTGCCTCTGGTAACAGAAATAAGTGGCAGAGACCAAAACCTAAACTGTTGAACCTGAAAGCCCAGGCCCCCACTGTACTTGGTGTTTTGCAAGTAATGTGGTCAGCAGAGCATCAAGGAGGTGCAAGGAGAAAGACACGGGGTGGTGGGACCAGAAAAGACTTCATGGGAAAAAAAATAGGGAACCCTTAAGAAAAAGTCTTCAATTATAACTCAGCAAAGAGCCGGACTCGGTGGCTCAGCCTGTAATCCCACGCCTTTGGGAGGCTGAGGTGAGTGGATTGCCTGAGCCTGCGGGTTCGAGACCCGCCTGGGCAACTTGGCGAGACCTCATCTCTACAATAAACCAAAAAATTAGCCGGGTGTGGTAGCGTGCGCCTGTAGTTCCAGCTACTTGGAAGGCTGAGGTGGAAGCAGGTTGAGGCTGCGGTGGCGGGAGCGACCACTGCACTCCAGTCTGGGCGACTGAGTGAGACTCCAACTCAAAACAAAAAAACCCAAAAAAACCAAAAACCCAGCGAAGACTAGTGAGGTTCTGAAGAGAACAAAGTTATTGTAAAGAAAGCTCCCAGCTATTCTGACACTGAAGCGAATGCATACTGTTACCCATCTTCAGATGGTGGTCTCAGTATACCTGGCTATTGGGTCCAGGACGCCCTTCCCCCACCAGGCAGATACCAAAATTCGAGGATACACAAGTCCCGTATATAAAATGACGTGGCATTTGCATAGACCCTGTGCACATCCTCCCGTATTCTTTTTTTAAAGGCAGGGTCTCATTCTATCATCCAGGCTGGAGTGCAGAGGTGTGATCACAGATCCCTGCAGCCTTGACCTGCTGGCCTCAAGTGATCCTCCTGTCTCAGCCTCCTGAATAGCTGGGACTTCAGGCGAGTGCTACCACACCTGACTACTTTTAAAATTTTTTTTGTAGAGATGAGGTCTTGCTGTGTTGCCCAGCTTGGTCTCGAACTCTAGGGGTCAGGCAGTCATCCTACCTCGGCCTCTCAAAGTGTTGGGACTGTAGACTTGAGCTACTACGTTGGGCCTTCCTGTAAACTTTAAATCGTTTCTAGATTACTTAGAGTCATACCTTTAGTATGTAGTACTTTTGATTTTGACACAGGATTTGGTGAAATTTGTATAAACATTTGCTTTTAGTTTTTTTAAGGAAACGTCTTGAGAAAACGTCAAAGTGGAAACTGTTACATATTCATGTACTATGTAAATGCTATGTGAATAGTTGTTATACTGTATTGTTCCCCCCCATATTTTCCATCTGAGGTTGGCTGAATTCGGGGAGCCCATGATATGGAGGGCTGACTGCATTTAGTCATCCAGGAGAGTCCGTAAGAATCAGACTAATTCAACTGGGTACGGTGGCTCATAGTAATCCCAGCACTTTAGGGGGTGGAGGCGAGAGGATTGCCTGAGCCGAGGGGTTCGAGACCAGTCTGGGCAACTTGACGAGACCTCGTCTCTACAATAAATCAAAAAATTAGCTGGGCGTAGTGGCACACACTTGTAGTTCCAGCTACTTGGAAGGCTGAGGTAGAAGGATCGCCTGAGCACAGCAGGTTGAGTCTGCGGTGGCCATGAGCGTGCCCCTGCACTCCAGCCTGGGCAACAGAGCGGACTCCAACTCAAAAAAAAAAAACAAACAAGCTTCAAACTAACTCATTAAATGAACTTAGATGATGTGTTTCTGACTGATGCTGCTAGAAATTACCCTTGGCTTTAGTGGCAGTACCTCAGGATATATAATTGGCTTCACAGGATTGTTCATCTGGTTTCTCCCTGCCCCTCCCCAATTTAGTTTTGGCCTAAAATTGACGCAAGTCTCAAATTTCAAGGTTTTAAAGCTGGGCATGGTTGCTCATGCCTTTAATCACAGCACTTTAGGAGGCTGAGGTGGGAGGATTGCTTGAACCCCAGGGTTCAAGACCAGCCTGGGCAACACAGCAAGACTTTGTCTCTGCAGAAATGTTAAAAATCAGTTGGTGTGGTGGCATGTGCCTATAGTCCCAGCTACGCGGGAGGCTGAGGTGAAAGGATAACCTGAGCTGAGGAGGTCAAGGCTGCAGTGAGCTGGGATCATGCCACTGCACTCCAGCCTGGGTGACAGAGTGAGACCTTGACTTAAAAACAAACAAAACACCTGGCTGGGTTCGGTCGCTCAGCCTGTAATCCTGCGCTTTGGGAGGCCGAGGTGAATGGATTGCCTGAGCCCGCGGGTTCGAGACCCGCCTGGGCAACTTGGCGAGACCTCATCTCTACAATAAATCAAAAATCAGCCGGGCGTGGTAGTGCGCGCCTGTAGTTCCAGCTACTTGGAAGACTGAGGCAGAAGGATCGCCGGAGTCTAGCCGGTCGAGGCTGCGGTGGCTGGGAGCGCCCACTGTACTCCAGTCTGGGTGACTGAGTGAGACTTCAACTCAAAAAATAAAAATAAAAAAAACACCTTTTTTCAGGGTTTTTGTATTCCTTTGAAAAAGATTTAGAAGCTTCTCAGTAATTTCTGATCGACATCATCGGTTGCATTAAAGTATTTCTATAAATAATTTGTATAGACAAATATGTATCATTGGTTCATTTAGACTTATTCACGTGGAAGTTGATTTATATATGTTTTCCATTTCTCTCCCAGGAATGAATAGATTTATTTCTAGACAGTGATGTGTTTCAGAGATGTGTTCAGTATATTTTTAATTGAATAGAACCTTTCTTCCCTCCAGTGGAAGCGTCGGTTCACAGCAGCAATGCACACTGCACAGACAAGACCATCGAAGCTGCCGAAGCCCTGCTTCATATGGAGTCTCCTACCTGCTTGAGGGAATCCAGGAGTCCTGGTGCGTAGATGTCCACTCTATATGTCACACTACTTCATGTATCTAGAGTTGGGCTGCTGTTCTAATGCGAGGGGATTGTTGGAGTTTTCAAAGACCCATCATACGTGGATGCCTGACAGCAGCGAACTTTGTGAAGGTCCTCGAGTTGCAAATACTTAATTTTCATTGTAAATGACATAGAAAATGCCCACTAGAGACAGGCACATGTTTATTAAATAGCTGTTGATATCGTTCTGTTTGTTTCCTTGACTCCAGGTAAATTGCAGGCCTTTGCAGTCCGTAAGAGTCTGGTGGGTTAGGGCAGCTGCCTCTCGTGACCACTTTCGCGCCTTTGTTCAGCGTCAGACAGGAAGTGGCTCCAGCGACCCGTCCATGGAAGGCGGGGCCGCACACCATTTGCTTCGCATACCTTTCAGCCTGGAGTCTCTCCCTTTCCTTTGGTCCCTTTCTTTCTTTGAGACTGACTTTGATAGTCATTTTTTCCCTAATTCTCATGTCATTTTGACTCACTGTCCAAATGTTCATTTGATTTGATACAGCCAGATTGGCCCTTTTCATTGTGATTTACAGTAAATGCTAGGAGCAGCCGTGCATTTTAGTTGGAACAGGAATCCCGTGTGTTATTTAGACAGGAGAAGAAAATCAGGGCACTTGTATTCGGCAAACTAATCTAATCTGTACACACTGCTTAGTGACCAAAATCAGGGCTCTTCCATTAAATAAAGCTTTTCAGATACTAAAAGGTGAGAGTAATTGGTTCGTAACAAGCAGGCTTTCCTTTTCTTCATATTCTAAAAATGAACTGTAGGCTGTAGCTGCTTGCTTTTGCTGCATGTATATTTGGAAATCTTTTAAATGTGCGTGTGTTACCTAGCTAAAGAATAATGATGAATATGTAGAAGGGAAGAAATCAAATAACTCACTCTTAAACTCTGCTCAGATGCTTTCCCAACTGCCAAAGTAGCTCACAGTTTTTTGTTGTTTTTTTTTTGAGTGGGAGTCTTGCTCTGTCGCCCAGACTGGAGTGCAGTGGCACGCGCCTGGCCAGCGCAGCCTCGCCCTGCTGGGCTCCGGCGATCCTTCCGCCTCAGCCTTCCAGGTAGCTAGAACCACAGGCGTGTGCTACCACACCCGGTTAATTTTTGATTTATTGTAGAGATGAGGTCTCGCCAAGTTGCCCAGGCAGGTCTTGAACCTGTGGGCTCAGGCAATCCACTCACCTCAGCCTCCCAAAGTGCTGGGATTACAGGCTGAGCCACCGAGCCCGGCCCAAAGTTTTTTCTACAGTGAGCTTGAAAGTATCTACAGACGTGTAGAAGGAGGGTGACCATTTATGGTCCTCGTCTCACCCAGAGGATTCACATTTCCTTGGAGTCGGTTTCTTTGCGTTTATTTTCCATGCATTTAGGTCATGTTGCATGTCAGCAAATTAACTTCCTCCGCAGTAAGCTTTTCTCCTGCTTCGAGTCATCCTTAATAAGCCCCACATCTTCTAGATATCGAACCGACCACAAAAGAAACACTGATGGGGATGGGAAATTTTAATTTTCTGACTTTTTTTTATAGTGGAAGTGTTTGTCCCTCCTTGTGTGTCAACTCCAGAATTTATCCACGCTGCTATGAGGCCAGATGTCATAACAGAGACGGTAGTGGAAGTGTCGACTGAAGAGTCAGAACCAATGGATGCCTCTCCTATCCCTGCGTCGCCGGATAGCCACGAACCAGTGAAAAAGAAGAAAGGTAGGGTCCGTCTGTACATTCCTGAGACAGCAGGCGCGTTTTTTTCTGACTTGTTTTCCTCTTCAAGGAACATGGAAAATAATATGGGAAGTAGGTTTAAGAGCGATGTTATCTTAACTAGATATTCTCAAAGAATCAACACATGGAGACTTTAAGTTTGTATTTTAACATACGCCTGCTGCTTAAAGAGTTGGTGTGCACGCCCTGAAGCTGCTTGCACGACAGTAATAGTGATAGGTGTTGAACACAGAGGGCAGAGTAGACCCCTGCACGCACATCTGGCCTTCTATTTGCTGATCCTTGTATAGGTACTTGGTTATTGTAAAAAAAAAAAAAAAGTATTCTCTCTATTTACAGTTTTGTCTTTTGTGAACATTCAAAAAACAAAAAACTAGATGCCTGTGGTTCCTTCCAGCTGCTCAGGAGGCTGAGGCAGGAGGATTACTTGAGCTCAGGAGTTTGAGACCATCCCGGACCACTTAGCGAGACTGTATTGCTTAAAAAAAGCCCAATACAATTTTTCCCTCATACTTTCTGCTTTATTTTGTTGTTGTTGTTCCAATTTATTTTTATTTTTTGTAGACACAGTCTCACTGTGTTGCCCAGGATGGTCTTGAGCTCCTGGGCTCAAGCAGTTCTCCTACCTCGGCCTCCCAAAGTGCTAGGCTGTAGGTGTGAACCACCACGCCTGGTTCCTCTGCTTTAAAACACCAAGATTGCCAATAGGAACTTTTAGTTGGCATAAGCTCACCGGGGGTAAAGAGCATTTCTACTTAGTATTTGATTTCTGCTGAATTTTCCACTCCCCTGCCCAGTGGGTAAATCACAAGGCCCTAGCACATGTCCAGAATCGTGAGGAAATGGGCAGTACATGGGTCCTTTACTGTTCAAATCAAAGGTAAAATCTGGAAGAAATGAACTCCTAGATAATTCGACGCTATTCTAGTTTTACTTTCTTCCCTAACTCTTTATGTTTTAGAGGAAAAAAAAAATCAAAGACAAAAGTAAGGGAGAGGTGTGTTAGAATCAATGCTGCTTTCTTTTACTCATCAAATATAGTGATTCAAGTCGCTGTGACGTGCACCATTCTGTGTTCATTGCTTAAGGGAGATAAAAATAAGACAGTGTCTCCCCCATATAATTCACGTAGGTTACATGCATCTTGAGAGAGGTATGAATGAGAGGATTTAGAAGGAAGAATTACTTCCTGCTGTAAATGTCTCAAAACAAAAGGCATACATATAGATAGCCTTATTTACCCATGGCCCACCTTAGCGCTAGGCTGGTTGTGTCTAATGGGAGCTGTAGCAAAATACAAATACTTAAGACATTTTTAAGTGAAAAAGCGGGGGACGTGTAGGGAATCAGGATGTGACGTGATGTAAAGCAGGAAATAGTTTGCCAATGTAATGCTAACTTTATCTCTGTAAATGCTCTCAGTGAATGACCGTTTACCAGTTGTACAAAAGCATTCGGTGCTCATTGCTATATGGGAGACGATAGAGAATCAGACAGGCTGTCATCATTTATATGTTTGTAGTTAAGTGCATTTGGGACATACACACTGAGGTTATATTTTAATAGCAGAACCTTTTTATTCCAGAACCTTTAATGTACTAATGTGTATTGTGAGTCTCCGAGAGAAGATAGCGTACAGTGTTCTTCAAGTTAATATGGGCTGGGTGTGGTGGCTCATGACTGTAATCCCAGCACTTTGGGAGGTCGAGATAGGAGGATGGCTTGAGGCCAGGACCTCCAGACCAGCCTGGGCAACACAGTGAGACCCCCATCTCTATAAAAAATAAAAATTAGCCAGGTGTGGTGGTGCATATCTGTAGTCCCTGCTTACTTGGGAGGCTAAGGTGGGAGGATCTCTTGAGCCCACAAGCTTGAGGTTATTGTGAGCCATGATTGTACCACTGCACTCAAGCCTGGGTGACAGAGTGATTTTCTGTCTGGGGGCGGGGTGGGGGGGAGTTAATTTCACCATAGAACTTGTTTTTTTACGGAGGAACATGATTTTTGAAATGTTGCTTTCTGAGAAAACATTAATCCTTTTTGGGCTGACTTTTCTATTAGGTTGGACTTTCATGTTTAAACTTAGGAGATGGTGAAGATGTTAAGTATTATTGCTGACTGATACATATATATAAATATGATTTAAGTTGATAAGTTAAGCTGTATTCTAACAAAGAGATTAGTGAACTTTCTGTTTTAATTTTTGCCAAAGTAGACTTCTTATTGATTGGAACTATTAGAGTGAAATCCTAGAATACATCTATGTATTTTGAAATATAAATTAATGTACTTTGACAGGCATGAGGGCTCACGCCTATAATCCCAGCATTTTAGGAGGCCAAGGTGGGAGAATTGTTTGAGCCCAGCATAAGTGACATGATGAGACCTCGTCTCTACAAAAAATAAAAAAAATTAGGTGGGTGTGGTGGTGCATGCCTGTAGTCCCAGCTACTCAGGAGGCTGCAGCAAAAGGATAGCTTGAGACCGGAAGTTGAGACTGAGGAGAGTGGTGATCGTGCCACTGCCCTCCAGCCTGGGCGACAGAGTGAGAGCCTGCCTTAAAAAAGCCATACTTCAATGTAGCTCTTTATGTGGTTTATTTAAATTAGGCTTGCTAGTGTAGACTAGAGTGACATCAGAAATCTCAGATGTAGAACAGTCGCCAAATCAGTAGTAATATACTTCATCTGAAACTATAACAGACTCGAATATTTCCATCCTCTCACGAGGCTTCCTCTCACCCGCCAGCGTTCATCCATCTGTGCTGGGGATTGAATATGAGCCATTTCAGGCTTAGGCCTTCGCTAGGGTGGAGAAGCATGACAGCTCTGCTTTTCTGTTCATTGTGGATGCTTGTCTGTGCAAGAGCCCTGTGGCAGAAATGAAGAGGAGCAAGAGGGAAGGGCTCCAACATTGCTTGAACAGATCTCAGTCACTGGAGGGTCGTTGTACCCTCATAACATATCTCCTGTTGAGGTGGGACAGTCAGACACCTAGCTTACATTCTGGTGAGTTAACTGGTTCAGAACTGTAGTGAGTGTTTATTATTTGTTACTTTTCCTCATTTGATAGGTTATCAGGTCTTCTGCAATAAGTTGAATTTTATATTAGCTTTTGTTCCTACATTAATATAAAAGATGAGCAAGTCGAGGCTCTGGCTGTATAAATAATGCTTGCCATATCCATTGAGATTACTGCCAACTAACTGCTGTAATCTAAAATTGCAGAAGCCAGTCACGGGGGCTCATGGCTGTAATTCCAGTACTTTGGGAGGTCGAGGAAGAAGGATCTCTTGAGCCCAGCCTGGGCAACTTGACCTCGTCTCTTAAAAAAAAAAATCAAAAAATTAGCCAGGCAATTGTAGCACAGGCCTGTAGTCCCAGTTTCTTGGGAGATTGAGGCAGAAGGATCATTTGAACCCAGAAGGTGGAGGTTGCAGTGAATCCTGATGGTGTCACTGCACTCTAACCTGGGCGACAGAGTGGGACTCCGACTCAAAAATAAATAAAAATGCAGAAGTGTGTTTAATACTCCTTTTAGAAGTAACTTTAAATTTAGTAAGGTAAGCTACATTTAACTTTTCCAGATACGTTGAGCATATTAATCTACAAATTAGTGCCCATTTTAATGAATAACGTGTAATCAGAGAGCCTGCTAATTGTGCTTCTCTTATTTTTTGTTTTTTAATGTATGGTTTCAATATCTTATTTTTTTCAGTTGGCCGTAAACCAAAGACCCAGCAATCACCAATTTCCAATGGGTCTCCTGAGTTAGGTATAAAGAAGAAACCGAGAGAAGGAAAAGGTAATTTGGGGAGGGCTGTTTTGGAAGTGAGATGATTTATTTTTCAGTTGGCTGACATTTTTGTATTTGCAAGAAAAGACTATTTCTAGGACATGCACATAGGAGAGAACCGTCTCTGGTAGTTCTTAATAAGACGTGATCAGCATAACCTTCAGAGCTTTTTCATAAATATCTATGCCCAGTGACTACCCCAGAGTTCTATAGCTCTAGTGACATCATAGCGACATGAAGGAGCAGGCTTTTTATTTACATCTGAAAAAAGACTTAAGGACAGTCTGATGCCCACCTTCCTAAGAGCCATCGTTTGGGGGGGTGTGCGAGTGTCACAGTGCCACCTGTAATTGAAAGAGGCTTGCTACAACTGAGAATTGTTTCTGAAGGGTGACTTCTTCACGGTCTAGAAGCAGGGCCAGAATTCTAGGCAAGCTAAGTTTGTTTTCCAGAAAACACATTTCAGTCATATCAGTTACAAATCAGAACAAACTTAACCGTATTTTCGCTGTAGAATTTGTATGTCCTCTTTTAAAATGAAAACACCCACAAGCTTCCCCACATATTCTTTCTTAATGTGTTGGGTGAGATGACTTCAAATAACATTTCAATGGTGGGTTTTTGATGTGTTCTGTCTAACAATGTGATGACTGAAATTTATCACTCTCATGAATAAATGTCTTCAGACCAATATTCAGTAGTTGGATAAGTTTTGCATCAATATATCTACATTTATTCTATCCTTAACAGGTAGTCTGATTTAAATGTAATTTTAAATAGAGCAAAATTAAGTCTCTTGGCAGGCGCAGTGGCTCATGCCTGTAATCCTAGCACTTTGGGAGGCCAAGGCGGTAGGATTGCTTGAACCCCAGGAGTTCAAGAACAGCCCCAGCAGCATTTAAAAATTAGCCAAGCATGGTGGTCCATACCTGTAGTCTACTCAGAAGGCTGAGGCAGAAGGATCACTGAGCCCTGGAGGTTGAGGCTGCAGTGAGCCATGATTATGTCACTGCACTCCAAGCTTGGTGTCAGAGTAAGACTCTGACTCAAAAAGAAAAAAAAATGTCTTTAGTAAGCCTACCAAGAAATTTGGTATTTAATTAGACCATAGAAAATAGTTTTCTTTAAAACAAGAAATAGAATTGTTGATTTCAGCTTGGGGGTTGGAATTTATGTGCACTGAGTATTTAAAGGTAATCTGAGGAATATTGATAGATTTAATTAGTTCGGCAAACGTGCAGACATTCGAATTCCTGTTATGTACAAGGCATTGTGTATGCTGTACAGAAATTTCTTCTAGAATAAAATCTCTGTTCATTTTTTGGGGGGAAGGGTGTAAGTTGGAGTCTCACTCTTGCCCAGGTTGGAGTGCAATGGCATGCTCATGGCCACCGCAGCCTCGACCTGCTGGGCTCAGGTGTTCCTTTCACCTCAGCCTTCCAAGTAGCTGGAACTACAGACATGCACCACCATGCCTGGCTAATTTTTTAAAAAAAATTTACTGTAGAGATGAGGTCTCGCCATGTTGCCCAGGCTGGTCTCGAACCCCTGGGCTCAGGCCACCCTCTGACTTCAGCCTCCCAAACTACTGGGATTAAAGGCGTGAGCCACTGTGCCCAGCCTCTGCTCTCTTTTTTTAGGTCTACTCATAGGACCTGATAGTATTTCTGAACAAGTTAGAAGTCTCCCCAGCTATACATTGTGAAGTGGTTGAAGCTTATACATGGTTAATAGATTGAGGTAGTGATGCTGATGGAATAGGGCCACAGAGATAACGAATGTAACATTGTGAAATTGAAGATCAGTCTTTTTAGCTTAGGTTGGATTCAACTCTGGGTTATTGATGAATGTATCAGATTGTAAGGGAAATATCCACAGTGAAAGTGAAATGCCAGCACATCAGTATTTTGACTGAAGGTGGGGGTAGCACTGCTGGGCTTGGAAGCTCTCACCTCAGAGGCGCTGCCCACAGAACCTGGATTTCGGATCTGGGCTGAAGGGTAGTGAAGGGATAGTGCGTGGGCGCCTGGAGACGACATGGTGGCTTGGTCGTGGCATGTGTATGCCTGCCTCTTCCTTCTCAGAACTCTCGTCTGTTCTTTCACTAGTTTAAGGACCTTTGCTCCTCGTGGCTGCAAAGGGCATAACAGAAAAGCAGCCCGAGCTCTCATGGCTGTTGCTTCTGCCTCCTACAAAGGAAAAAAAAAGCCATCCTTTCTTCCTTTGGGACTAATTTTTCACTTGTCCAGATTGCTTTTTTTTACGCGTATCTTCTCTATCTTCCAAGACTTCATGATACCTTACTAGTCCATTTATTGTCACTCCTAAAATCCCACACGCTATTTTCTATGAGTATTTGAAATATAATTATGCATTGTCTTGTAATAGACCTTATATTGCTTCAAACCATTATTTCTTGTATTGTTGTGTCATTTGTCATTTTTTTCCCCTTCCCAACCAAATTATAAATTCCTTGAGGGGGAGGGACCAGGTTTTAAATTCTGTTCTGTATTTTCTATTTACGTAAGTATAGTATTTGATAAATAAGTGCTTTTTTCTGCAGAAACGTCTTAGTATTTCCTCGCTTTCCAGTTTTGTTAGTGGTATGATCCCGAGTTAATGTTGTTGTCACATTTGATGAAGACTTGACTAGTTCTAAGGAATTGCTGTATAACTGTTTCCATGTAAGGAGCTCCTGTTTTAAGACTGAATCACAAATATCTTAGTAACTGAGTTGTTCGTCTGTAATGAAATCTTTTAAGTGTATTACTTATTTTCACTCTACTAGGTATAAGCAATAGAAAGAGATTAGATGTTTTTAAAAATCTGTTTTTAGAGGCAGTAGATTTCATGGATATCAAGTCTTTTTAATCGAGTCTTAATTGACTAGTAATGCAGAGGAAAAGGATGCTTAGAGGAATGCTTAGAAGGCTGAGGTAGTTTGCACTATATAAGACGTGTGCCTCAGAGTTCACGCCTGTAGGTGAGTCACAGAAAAGAAGTTTCTTTTTTTTTGAGTTGGAGTCTCACTCTTGCCCAGACTGGAGTGCAGTGGCACGCTCACGACCACCGCAGCCTCAGTCTGTGGGGCTCCGGCGATCCTTCTGCCTCAGCCTTCCGAGTAGCTGGAACTACAGGCGTGCGCCACAACACCTGGCAAATTTTTGATTTATTGTAGAGATGAGGTTTCACCAAGTTACCCAGGCGGGTCTTGAACCCGCGGGCTCAGGCATTCCACTCACCTTAGCCTCCCAAAGTGCTGGGATAACAGGCTGCGCCACCGAGCCCAGCTCAAAGAAGTTCCTTTTTTTTTTTTGAGGTGGAGTCTCACTCTTGCCCAGACTGGAACCCAGTGGCTGTTCCCGGCCACCGCAGCCTCGACCTGCTGGGCTCCGGCGATCCTTCCGCCTCAGCCTTCCAAGTAGCTGGAACGACAGGCATGGGCTACCATGCCCGGTTCATTTTTTGATTTGTTGTAGAGATGAGGTCTCACCAAGTTGCCCAGGCGGGTCTCAAACCCGCAGGCTCAGGCAATCCACTCACCTCGGCCTCCCAAAGTGCTGGGATTACAGGCTGAGCCACCGAGCCCGGCTCAACGAAGTTTCTTAACACAAGGATTCTAGGACTGATGCCTACATGTTTTGTACACTTCAAAGCTTTTTGCTTGTCTATTCAACAAATAATAAATAACTTTTGATCATGGAATTTGGAGCTATCATATAATAAACGTAGGTGCAAATACCTGTATTTTATTTAGAATTTAAATGATGTAAAGCAACAAATTTACTCCGGCTTAATTCGGTTAGCTTTGTACTAAGCATTATGTCTTTGTGTTTACTGAACTCCTGGCCTCAGATGTGGTGGTGTGCAGGATCCAGGCCCTCTATCATGTTGGTGTCAGAGCTGTAGACACGCGAACGGGTACCACGTCTAAAAACTAGCAAACAAGTGTATTTGGGATTTTTGTGTTATAATGAAGGCACTTTATTTGTCTTTAATTATATATTTAATTGTGTTCATTTTAATCAGTGTCTATTATTGTTTTTAAAGGAAACACAACATACTTGTGGGAGTTTCTTTTAGATCTACTTCAAGATAAAAATACTTGTCCCCGGTATATTAAATGGACTCAGAGAGAAAAAGGCATATTCAAGCTGGTGGATTCAAAGGCTGTCTCTAAGCTTTGGGGAAAGCATAAGAACAAGCCAGACATGAACTATGAAACGATGGGACGAGCTTTGAGGTAAAGACACAAATGAGCGAGTGTCTGGCAAGACGTACACATTTCTTCATACTGTCTGCTAGCTGTTAATTTAGAGAAGCTCAAACTCTCTTATGCCTTTTAACTCTGAGGGTATTCTCGAGAAGCTTCTTGGATTGGAAGTAGATGGGGAGAGAGGAGTCTGGTCTGGATGCTTAAAATTTCAACGTCATTGGAAAATCCATTTTTGCAGAAAATGTGCTTTTGCACTTAGGATAGAAATGGTTAAGTTGTAGGCTTTAAGTTTTTTAATTTTTATTATTATTTTTTGTGTCAGGGTCTTACTCTATCGCCCAGGCTAGGGTGCAGGGGCACGATCATGGCTCTCTGTAGTGTGGCCTTGACCTTCTGGGCTCAGGCAGTCCTCCTGCCTCAGTCTCCCGAGTAGCTGGAAGAACAGGTGCATGCCACCACGTCTGGCTAATATTTTGATTTTATTTTGTAGTCTTGCTGTGTTGCCCAGGCTGGTCTCAAACTTCTGGGCTCAGGCAGTCCTCCTGCCTCTGCTTCCCAAAGTTCTGGGATTACAGGCATGAGCCACTGAGCCTGGTCACGTTGTAGGCTTTAAAAGAAAAAATTAAACCTAAACAAAATAGTTTCCAAAGTTAATTTGCTTTTTCCTTCTTATGAGTTTGTTATAAATGGATTTTTTTGTTTTTGAGTTGGAGTCTCCCTCTGTTGCCCAGCCTAGAGTACAGTGGCATGCTCATGGCTACCACAGCCTAGACCTGCTGGACTCAGGCAATCCTTCTGCCTCACCCTTCCAAGTAGCTGGAACTACAGGCACGTGCCATCACGCCTGGCTAATTTTTCTTGATTGTAGAGATGAGGTCTCGCCAAGCTACCCAGGCTGGTCTTGAACTGGGCTCAGGCAATCCTCTCACCTCGGCCTCTCACAGTATGGTATTATAGGCGTGAGCCACTATGCCCGGCCATAAATGGATTTATCTTGATATGAAAATTTCTCTTAAGTTTAGTCAGCTTTAGAAACTCACATAGTTCTTTTGTAATGTAATGGTTTCTTCTCATTGAGGGTGTTTTTAAGAAACACATGGTCCCCGCCTTTGGGAGGCTGAGGTGAGTGGATTGCCTGAGCCTGGGCAACTTAGCGAAACCTCATCTCTACAATAAATCAAAAATCAGTTGGCGTGGTAGCGCGCGCCTGTAGTTCCAGCTACTTGGAAGGCTGAGGTGGAAGGATCGCCGTAGCCCAGCAGGTCGAGACTGCGGTGGCCGGGAGCAGCCACTGCACTCCAGTCTGGGCGACAGAGTGAGACTCCAACTCAAAAAAAAAAAAAAGAAACACATGGTTTGTGTGACAGTATCCACATTTCATCTCTACTGTAAAGTGAGCATGGTTTAGGTATGTTTCCACATAATCAGATTGTTTTTATAACATATGTAAACATATGTAACAGAATATTATTTCTACCAATGCCAGTGAAATACTCTGTATTAGAATACATTATTATCTTTAAGAAAGAGAATGAGCCTTTTACAGATCTCAAGGTTATGGGACTTAGGGCATCATGCAGTCCGTAGCCTTGTTGGAGCCTTCAGGCTGCGAGAGCCCCTTTTTGCTCATCTGTTACCGGGATCAGAGAGCGCTGCGTTAGTATTCACCGTGCATGGTCTTTTGTGGGGGAGGGGAAGAGGTGATATACTTGATTCATTCCGTTATCTTTTCTCTTACAGATACTACTACCAAAGGGGAATTCTTGCAAAGGTTGAAGGACAGAGGCTTGTATATCAGTTTAAGGACATGCCCAAAAACATAGTGGTCATAGATGATGACAAAAGTGAAGCCTGCAGTGAAGATTTAGCAGCAGCTGCGGATGAAAAGTCACTAGAACGAGTGTCACTGTCTACAGAAAGTCTCCTGAAAGCAGCAGCAGCCTCTGTTCGTGGTGGGAAAAACTCATCCCCTCTAAACTGCTCCCGAGCGGAGAAGGGAGTAGCTAGAGTTGTGAATATCACCTCCCCGGGTCATGAGCCTTCGGCCCGGCCTCCTCCCGCCACCGCGTCTGTGCCGGCGACCCCAGCTCCGAGGTGAGCATGCAGACTGCAGCTGGAACGCGCTGACTTCTGGTTAAGGCCTCCTGGGTGAGAACGGAAGGTCCCTTTGCTTAATATTGGCATCCTAAGAACCCACTGTTGTCAGGACTTGGAAAAGCGCTTGGTATCGTAAATGTCCTTTTTATTGTTAAAGTAAGCATCTCAACTAACCTGAGTTAGTTTTTGTGGTTTTAGAGATGGCGCTTAATGTGGGCTTCGGTTTTTAAAATACATTTGTGTCATGGTGTTCCAGATTCCAAGCTTCAGGGATTGCCGGTACATACCTCTGAAATTTGAGAGCAGCAGTTTTTATACATTTCGGATTTGCATTAAACTTTTGCTCAAGAGACCTGTTGTCTAGCTTGGACTGAAATATAATTAACTTTCTTCTTTCTCATCTTCCAGGACAGTTCGTGTGGCAATGCAAGTACCTGTCGTCATGACATCCTTGGGTCAGAAGATTTCAACTGTGGCAGTTCAGTCGGTTAACGCGGGTGCACCGCTAATAACCAGCACTAGTCCACCCACAGCGACCTCTCCGAAGGTAGTCATCCAGACAATCCCTACTGTGATGCCAGCGTCTGCTGAGAATGGAGACAAAATCACCATGCAGCCTGCCAAAATTATTACCATCCCAGCGACACAGCTGGCACAGTGTCAGCTGCAGACCAAGTCCAATCTTACTGGGTCGGGAAGCATTAACATCGTTGGAACCCCACTGGCCGTGCGAGCGCTCACCCCCGTTTCCATAGCCCATGGGACGCCTGTCATGAGACTCTCAGTGCCTACGCAGCAGGCATCTGGCCAGACTCCTCCCCGAGTGATCAGTGCGGTCATAAAAGGGCCAGAGGTTAAGTCAGAAGCAGTGGCAAAAAAGCAGGAGCATGACGTGAAGACTTTGCAGCTGGTCGAAGAGAAACCAGCAGATGGAAATAAGACAGTGACCCACGTAGTGGTGGTCAGCGCGCCTTCGGCCATTGCCCTTCCCGTAACTATGAAAACAGAAGGACTCGTGACATGTGAGAAGTGAGACCTCAGCGCCGCCGTGGACTTCAGACTGTTAGTGGTAGGACTGACGTCAACATTGGTGAGGGGAGTCATCCAGAAAGTCGAAGAAGACTTTAAAACGCGTTTAATGCATCTAAGGAAACAATCAGACTTACTGGAAGCCAATTACCTATCCCATGTTTCAGTGGGAACCGAACTACATACTGCGATACTGACAGAAAACTGCCTCTTGCGATAGGAAACAGCCGAACCCGCCAGTAAGAAAAGGATTCAAAGGGACCAAGCCGCTCACTACGCTCTCAAGTTACACTAAGACTTGGAACACTAACACTCTGTAAGAGGTCCTGTAGTTTTCAGAGGGGAGGGGTTGGGATGGGTGATCTCCTTGTTACATATAGCAATTTTTGATGCATTTTATATGCATACCAGCAATTATTACTGTGTTCGCACAGTACTCACTTAACTGGTGCTATGTGAAGACTCTGCTAATATAGGTATTTTAGAATGTGAATTGAAGAATGGATCCAAAAGCTTCAGAAAGAGGATAGCAAAAAAAATCTAGTGCGAATTTTTTTTTATATATATCATATAGCTTAAGCTGATTTACAACAAAGGCCTTAGACTAATTTTCGGTTTTCTTTCTTGAAATAAGCTAATGGCTTGTTTGTGTAAAGCTTTTTTATTAAAAGAAAAATTTTAAAAATCTTGTACTAGCACAGTATTGTTATAGAATTTACATGTAACATTTTATATGGTAGTTTAAGTCTGTCAGTTTCTTAATTGTGGACGAATTAACAGTTGGCTCTGGCCTTTTGCTGTAACACGCCTCTGTCACTCACGTAGCCCTGGCATCTGTGCGGACATGTCAGTTTCAGTTCCACTGTCACTTGGACGTTCAGGCTCAGCATGAATTTTTGTCAGGTAGCCCTAATACCTGGAGTTTTCTTTCTTTCTTTCTTTCTTTTTTTTTTTTTTTTTTTAGTTGAAGTTTAAGAGGGAAAGTACCAGTGTTCAGATTTGAACTATAATAGTTTGTATATTCAACATTTGAAGTATATTCTATTTTGTTGTACTCTTGTTTCAAAGTGTATTCAAGTAGGTTTTCTGAAATATAGAAAAGAAATTTATCTTGTTTTGGTCTCTGTTGGTATTTTTAACAATGCTCAAAAGCCAGTGAGAGATGCTGTTTTATTAAGAAGTGATACAAATCCTCTATTTCTCCTTCCCAACTACCATGTGAAGAAATTTTACTTCTGTTCCATTATATTAATATCTGGCAATGTATTACATGTTGCCACTGCCTTTCCAGTTACTGTCGAATTTCGTGTTTCCTTGGCCACCCTTGAGAACTCAGACTGTTTGTTTCGCAGTCAGACCTTTTGCGGTTGGAAGAATGAAGAGCCAGTCCTCCAGCTCTTCTGCAGATTCAGAAACTGAGGTTGAAGGGTTATGTAAATTACCTGATTTCATACAAAAGTAGGTCCTGTCACTCCACATCTTTGGTTTTTCCTAATACAAAGAACAAGTGTCTATTTTTACATCCTTTAGCAACTTAGATGAACTGAACTTAATATTCTTTGTCCTTTAATTGTGCATTTCAACAGGTACTACTTAGGTCAACAAAGATTTTTATAACAGCTCCCTTTTTAGTCTTGTTTTTATCTTTTTCATAAATGTTCTAGTGGTACTTTGAAAATAAAAGCCCAAAGAAAAACTTACTTAATGTCAAGTTCTACCTCCTTTTAAAACATTTCCTAGATATTTCAGCTCTCAAAATCGATAGTAACCAGGCATGGAGGCTCACACCTGCAATCCCAGTACTTTGGGAGGCCGAGGAGGGAGGACTGATTGAGCCCAGGAGTTCGAGGCCAGCCTGGACAACAAACATAGTGAGACCTCGTCTCTAGAAAAAACATTTTTAAAAAGTGGCCAGGCTTGGTGGCACACACTTGTAGTCCCGGCTACTCTGGAGGCTGAAGTGGAAGGATCGATCGCTTGAGCCCATTATGTTGAGGCCGCAGTGAGCCGTCATCATGCCACTGCACTTTAGTTTGGGTGACAGAGTAAGAAGACTCTCACTCAAAAAGAAAAAAAAAGTCGGTACTATATGCTTTGGCACTTAATTGTATTCTCTTCTTTTTTGTGCCATTGTTTCTTTTGTGTGGTCGTGTCTTCCGTAAGATTCTTTTAGGGCAGAGGTGAAATTGTGCCACAACCTGCTTTGCTCTCCAAGCGTTGAGCGAGTTAGACACTTAGACATTGTTCATTTTGATAACGCTGGCCAAGACTCTGAATCGCGTGCCATAGAGGACAGCTAAGGATGCCTAACTTGTAAGTGAATACTTGCCTTCTGGGCCATATTTTTAATTAGTTCTAACAGGTTAAGCCTGGCCTGCCCAGCTTCCCTCTACCACTCTACTGAAAATCTTTGTCTCTTTCAGAGTAAACACCTGAAGCTCAGGTGTGGAAGCATACACGTTGACAGTATGTGCTCATCAGAGTGTTGCTGTAGGTTGAAACTATCCGTGGCATGGCAGTCCTCCCCCCCACCCCCTTAATGCTGTGGCTTTTCATCTTGTCCACTCCAGACTCTAAATCAATATAACATGCTTTTTAGTGCCCAGTGTATCAGAGAGAAACCACACATGACCATGGCTTGGTGCCACTGAACCTTCCAGTTATGTTCAGTAGTCTCTCCGTGTGTTTCTTAGGTCATTTTCCAGCAAGTTTTAGCCTTCACTGCCCTGTTCACCCAGTAGCCAGCATGCCTCTTCACAGAGAGCGTGGTCACACGCTCTAACTTCCCTGCAGTTCTGGACCCCTGGCCAGAGGATTTGCTTACCCTGCATCCATCCTCTTGGCCCCCTGGCTCACTCCCTCTGTGCTCACCCTTTCCGTTCCCACTTCCCTGGGCTCCTTGTTCCAGCCTATCTTTCTGTCTCTTCTCTCGCTTCATATAATAGCCCGAGGCGGATGTCTTGCTCAGAAACAGTTCTCCACTCGGTCTCTGATACCCCGGTTTCCAATCAGACACACTTCAGTTCTTCATGTGATCTCCTGCCTCAGCCTCGTCCTCGAAACTCACCCGGCTTCCCATGTTTACTTCCTGCCTGGCCAGGTCTTCCTGCTTAGTCTGCTTCCTGCCTGCTTTCCAGGAAAGGTCTGGTCCTGTCTAGGGGGCTCCTTTCCTTATAGGGTTGCCGTAAGGATTAAATGAGGCAAATGTGTCGAGGATACAGAACCAGTATCTAGCATATAGCAAGCACTATTACTTGTTCACTGTTAGGATTTCAGTAACATAATTGTCAGTTTCATCCATGCCTGTGGATTTTACTACCGAATCTATTGTTACAGCCTAGACTTTCACTTTTTTTCTTTTGTTAATGGAGCCCTTCGTGAGTCACCCTTGTGCAGGGGCCGTGCTAGTCTGTCCTGTCCCAGTTTTAGTGTTGTAAGGAGCTGCCCAAGCAAGCGCTGCTATCAGTCTTCAAGTTTATCTTCCCTCTGAAATCTGTTCCTCTCAGCTCAATACATGGCATTACCAGCAGCCCATTACTTTGGGAGGTACCCCAGGGCCATCCTAGACACCTCACCTCCTCCAGTCATTCTCCAGGTTCTCCTGATGGAACCTTCTAATTGCCTCCTTTTCTCATTCTCCTGGCCTTGTGTCTTTGTCTTGCCGGCCTCCCTCTGATCTTTTCCCCATGCTGCCTTTAAATGCAGATTTCACTACGCACACCCTGAGGATTGCTCTAAATTCTTCAATGGCACCTCTTCCCAAAAGATCTAAGTCTAAAGCATAACAGTTAAAGCCCCTTGATCTGGGCTGCAGACATGCTGAAAGACTTCCTTTTTTGCAAGTATTCCAGACATTCCTAACTCACGGAGCCGTTCCATTGATCGCTTCTCTCTGGACAGCTCTTCTCTCCTTCACCTAAATTTGAGCCGTTGAATTTTTTTTTTTTTTTTTTTTTTATTTAGGTGGCAGACAAAAACATCTCTGGGCTGGGCGTGGTGGCTCAGCCTGTAATCCCTGCACTTTGGGAGGCTGAGGTGAAAGGATTGCCTGAGCCCAGAGGTTTGAGACCAGCCTGGGCAACTGGGTGAGACCTCGTCTCTACAATAAACCACACACACAAAAAAAACTAGCCGGGCATGGTGGCGTGTGTCTGTGGTTTCAGCTACTTGGAAGGCTGAGGCGGAAGGATTGCCTGAGCCCAGCAGGCCGAGGCTGCAGTGGCCGTGAGTGTGCCACTGCACTCTAGCCTGGGTGATAAGAGAGACTCCAACTCAAAAAAGAAAAAAGAAGCCGGGCTCGGTGGCTCAGCCTGTAATCCCGCGCCTTTGGGAGGCTGAGGTGAGTGGATTGCCTGAGCCCGCGGGTTCGAGACCCGCCTGGGCAGTGAGACCCCATCTCTACAATAAATCAAAAAATCAGCCGGGCGTGGTAGCGCATGTCTGTAATTCTGGCTCCTTGGAAGGCTGAGGCGGAAGGATCGCCGGAGCCCAGCAGGTCGAGGCTGCGGTGGCCGGGAGCAGCCACCGCACTCCAGTCTGGGCGACAGAGTGAGACTCCAATTCCAAAAAAAAAAAAAAGAAAAAAGAAATCTCTGAAATAGGCTGGAAACCACTCAGGGTGGCGAGTGATCTACCCTGAGTGAGCTCTGACCGAAAAAAAGAGTCAAGTGTATCAAGGCAGGCTAGGGAAGCGGGGGGGCGGATCAGCAGTGGATGTCAGGGACTATTCAGAGAATCAACAGGGCAGAGGAGGTGGCATTTCATGGTGCGGTGGGCAAAGCCCCGAGAATAGCGGGACGGCAAGGCAAGTTAGGCCACGGAAGAGCTGCCAAGGCTGATGCCGACTGCCAAGGCCGATGCCGACGTGAGGGCAGCGCCAGGAAGGGGTGGTGAAGTCAGAGTGGACGGCACCTGCCCCTCACTGCGGGGCCTGCCTGACACTGGCTGCACCTGGGAGCGTATGTTTCTGACCACTTGAGCAAGTCATGGTCAACTATTAGCGGACAAACTTCTTTCCAAAGACAGGATTTTGGCCGTGGGTTCTTTCCAAGATATTCTGTGGTTCCTCTGCTGTTTGTCTGCCTTACGGGATCCTGCAGGGCACGTTGCTCTGGGGAGGTAAGAGTAGCCTAACTTGGGTTCGACAGCTGTCCAGGCAGCTGGTTCCTTTATCACAGCGTTGGCCCACTCACAGTACTGCAAGGCCCTGTGGTCGTGACTCAGCCAGTCTTCAGCCCGCTTGTTCTCACCACTGTCCTCCAAAAGTCATAGTCTGCAGTCCCAGTACACAGTGACGCCAGCCCTAAGGGTATAGAACGAGATACTGTCCACCCTTTGCGAGGGCACGGATTGGCCTCCCACGTGCATCGAGCCTCCCAACCAGGGGACTTCCCTGAGCACTCATGACCCTGAACACTGTGACTCAGTAGTAATGCTGTGAGTTCAAGACTTAATAGATCCCAGTTTCCAAAGTGAGAACATGATACAAGGAAAACACATGGGGCGGTGGGGGGCAAAAAAGCAGGATTTATTTATAAAAATTGTATATTTATTCTTGTTAAACTTCAGCCACCTTCAAAGTACTGTTTGATGAAATGCACCCATTGCGATGCTTGTTCCACTGCTCAAAAGTTTTTGTTTCACCTCTTCCACATCGGCAGAATGTTTCCCTCTGGGGACTTTTTTTCATCCAGGGAAACAAGTCATCTGGGGTGAGATTGGGTGGCTAGAGAGGGTGGCGCATGAGGGTCACGCTGTTTTGGGTCAGAAACTGCTGAATACTCAGCATGGTGTGGCTTGGTGTGCTTGTAACTCACCCATCATGAAATAGGCAAACGCGTTGAAAGATTCGCCAAAGAAACTTCACTGAAGTCGAACGCAGCCTCTCAACGCTAGCTGGTCCACTGATGCCAATGGGTTCCTAGAACACTTACCTAGTGGGGGAGGCCTGGACTGCAAGGGGCCCACCCTCCAAAACTCCGGGGTTTTTTGGGTCCCCCATGTAATTGTATTTTTGATGTTTAGAAATATTTGTGTGTGTGTTTTGAGTTGGAGTCTCACTCTGTCACCCAGGCTGGAGGACACTGGCACACTCCCGGCCACCGCAGCCTCGAC